ATTCAAAGTTGAAACGCCATTATCTATAACTTGAGTAGATTTTTTTTTACACAAATATTTCCATCCCAAATGCAACTTGCTATCTAGTCACCCTGCTTCCTTACTACATGTTTCGGCCGCGTACTGCCATCATCAGTTGTTGTCTGTCTTCTGTATGCCAAAATTACTTATCGCGTGTGAACGCAATATTTCGTAATTACAATTGATTAACGCCTTAGAGTTTTTTTATTCAGTATGGTCGTCTTACACTCTTTTAACGATATTTGCTTGAGTATTCCTCGTTTTGGAATTATTCGTACAGCATTCCCTTTGCGGTGTGGGTGTTATCTATAATGTATAAATAATGTGTTATATTTGTTATACTTTGTGCTTTTTGCTTGTGTTTTTAAGTTAATTTACTTTTTATACTCAACGTGTGCATCATTGGCTGTAGGTTTTCCTATGCTGTTATAGTAATTAGGCTGTTAAGGGGTCTGTGCATAAGATATTATGAGCGTTCAGATCCTGCTTTCACAACATGACGGGGAGGGGGGGGTGCTACCTGGCGTAAAGCTCTTACAGTGTCTCGCATATGTAGTTGTACGTGTCGATGTATGTGTTCTTCATATGTAGGTTATTTTTACTGATTCTGTAAATGTGTTATTTTATAAGGTACTTAAATATTTATTGATCACAGTGGCCGCGCGGTCAAAGGCATGAACTGTCTACACTCGCTAGAACGTTGGGATCGTGAGTTCGAATCCCACACAAGGCATGGATGTCTGTGTTTTTTCTGTGTTTGTGTGTAGGTAGCGGCCTTGTGACGGGCTGATCATTCATCCAAGGAGACCTGCCGTCTGTATAAAAAGATTACGGAACTGAAGAAGAGGCCAGGGCCCAACAAAGGGCTGTAAGGTCACTGATGAGTGGAATGAATTTAAATGTCTGCCTTTCTTTCCTGTTTTTATAATATCCGTGGTATCCGTTCCGGTTCCATATGTATGTCCTGTGGTTTGAATATCCGGAATTGCTATTATTGCTTCTGATGCTATGAACGCGCCCTTTATATCTAATATTTAATGTTGTTCCTGTTTGTTTAGCCATACCGAACGCTCATAATATCTACGCATACAAGGCACGTAACAAGATAATCGCAGCTGGTCTGGTAGCGTGGGGGGACCTACAGCTAGTAGTGCATACGTGAGTATGAAAAGTAAATTAACGTAAAACAAAATATAACAAATATAACACAAAACATTATTTACATGTTACAGACAATACCCACGCCGCAAAAGGAATGCAATGCAGGACCCAAGCAGATACCTTTTAAATGGACGATGGCCATAATGAAAAAAACAAAACAAGACGTTAATTTGCAAATATGGCGTTCACACGCGGTGTGTAATTTTCACATGCAGCGGAACAATTTTAGCAAGATAGAAAACACCCGATGATGGCCATATGCCGACGAAACATGTGGTGAGGAAGAAGGGTGACCAGATAATAAGTTGTACTTAAGACGGAAAGACATGCACGCAAAAGACACATCAATGCAACAGGATGCTTAAATAAGGCCGCGCTATAGCTGAAGCGGTTAGTCGCTGGCTTCCCACCGCGGGGGCCCGGGTTCAATCCTGGGTCTGGTCAAGTGGGATTTGTGGTGGACAAAGTGNATATATATAGTTTCTCGATCAACAAGCAGTAACTGACTAATTCATTCTCAGTTTCCCAGTTTGAAGCTTGATAATGTCTCCATGCTTTAGTTCTGTTCACGTAAAGTTTAAGATTTGCTCGTGCTATATCGTACGCTTCTGCTGCTTTCAGGGAACCCATTTCCCTTCTTCGTACTGCCGAACCGCTCCGATCCATGATTTGTCCATAGAACGAAACACTAAGCAGAGCTAAAACTGAAGCAGGCGATTTTAGGCACGTAGACGATAATCGAGGGAGTTCCCCACCATTTCATTACCTCTCTAGATGCACCCAATAATAGCGTAGTTGGTTGAGGCGCTATGCTACAAGGCGGAAGCTTGCGGGTTTGAGTCCTGATGGGATGGATTTTTTTCAATTGACCTAATCCTTCCAGCCGCACTATGGCCCCGGGGTCGACTCAGCCTCTAACAGAAATAAATATCAGGAATCTTCCTGTGGGGTAAATGGCGGGCGGCACGTAGGGCTGACAACCTCACCGCCATCTGTGAGCCGAATGTCTAGAGAAAATGTGGGAGCCTTGTCGTCTCACAACCTTTCAGGCCTTCAGGGCCTGTTACAGGGATAGCGTTACCTTTCTTTTATACCTTGCCTCCTGTTACTGCAGTAGCTGATACAGTGCATCTGTCCGCCTTCACATTCCCACCTGCCGATCTCCTCTATATGGATTGAGGATTTCAACATCTGCACCGGCTTAAGAATCCTATTTCAAGCGTCTTCTTGGGTTTCTCTTTGCTCTCTTCTCCTGGCTGTCTTTGGCCAGCTTTATTCATCCATTCCTGTATTCCTCCACTATATTATCGGCCTCGCAGTTCTCACGTGTTTCAGTATTTATTTTGTTGTTTAATTGTATATAATCAGCTAAGGGTCTTATATTTCTGTAGTTTCTGATCCTGTCACCCCAGTTTTTTTAACATTGGCGTTCTAAAATTTAAAATGTGTTAGCTGAATTGAAAAATGTTTGTTTTCATTTGCTGCGCTGTACTTGGTATGTCTGTGCACAGAGCGCCGTACAGTATAGGCAACTTGTGTGCCACATCAGTGTAGCGCGCCTGTATACTCCACTCCACTGGCAAGACTCCAAGAGACATTGACAGTCAGCTGCCTTTTATGCAACCCGAAGTTTCATTTCCATGTTCACAATTTACAATCATAGGATGATACAGTGAGGCAACTCCATTTTGTACCCTCACACTCCATTTTAATATTATCCTCCATCCATGCTTTTATCTTCCAAGTGGTATCATCCTTCTAGTTTTTCCGATTGAAAACTTGCCCATTCCTCGTATATGTTAATCTAGCGAAAACACTAGATCTGTGTTCAAAAAGGCATCCTGTTCGAATCTCGTTTGTGTTAAGCCATGTTGTGAAGTATTTTGCGTCTTCGACTTATGCAGGAGAAATGTCAGGAGAGATGTCTGCTTCGAAATGAGCCACTACCATGCCCTTCCGTTCCTCGATTCACGTAACTTCATTCCAGCTCTTTCAACACTATATATAACCTTGCAGTTCTGACAGTATCGGCATTGTACAAGCGAATGGATTATACACCGCAGAAGTGGCTGCTTTATAAGGGGGAAGAAACCAAGTATCACTCCATAATCGAGAAAGGGGGGGGGCTTTTCGTTAGTCACCTCATTCCATTCAAATACCAGGAGTGTGAAAACCTTATCTGGAGTTGTGCCCCGACCCACTCACATTCCAACATGAAATGATGCTCAGTTTACATTTCCGGTGTGTAACCTATGAAGTTTTAATAGCATCGTAAAACAGCCCAGCGCAAGAGTTAATCAGAAACGCAGTAATGCGGTTTGTGTTCGGAGAGGAACAAGATACTTACATCTGATAGCCTACAATCGGAGCGCTGGCCACATTCAAATCCTGTCGTGTGTACGCTTCTCATTTCGTGTCGCAACTATATGCAGACCAGGAGCCGGGACAGCTACGGGCTGGACCGTCAGAGGTTTACTCTCGGATGGAATAAGAAAATTTTCTCCCCTCTACAGCGTCCAGACCGGCTCTGGGGACCGTCCAACCTATCGCGTACCGGGGGTTCTTTCCTCGGAGGTAAAGTGGTTAGGGTGTGAAGCTGAACACTAACCGCAATGTAGTTCCGAGGTGAACGGTGGAACTAGAACATCCACTCCTGTATACGTCTTCATGGCGAAGCTTTGCTTTTATCTTGCTTTATGTAGGTAGACCTGATACCGTGACAGGCTGTGTCGCAACACACACCTCGGTTTTTTTTTTTCATGTTTCGGCTTTCTGAATGTGCTGCACTGTTCATTTCTTCCGGTTTTCTGGATCGGAGCCCAAAATATTTGATGGACAGGCTCATAAAATCTTCCCAGCTCGGAGGGCAATAAATCATAACGTGGTAGCTGCGTTATAGGGCCGATCTGTACCGTAGATTCGGCCCACATCTCACACCTTCAAATAAAGCTCCTTCCCACATCATTTGAAACGCCGGTTTATTAAAGGATACAGAGGATAGATACAGGATGTTCCCTCTTTATTTTTATGGCAACGAAAAGTAAATCAAGATGCGTGATGGCGACTACTAATTTCTGTCTTCCACTTCAGACCCACCATGTTCGAACTTGGCCCGGGCAACGAGACAAATTTAATAATTGACAGTGCATTAAAATGGACCACGACCGCATAATTCGTAACACTTTAAAAACTGGCCACTACTGCTCTCTCCGAAGGTGTTTCTCAATTAGAAGTCTTAGCCTTGCGGCTGTTGTATAGACCTAATTAATTCACTTAGTGGGGGGTGGAGTTCAGCTGGGTCCACTCGGCACGGCGGCCACTGATTGAACTATTGTAGCCTCCCCCGGGTGATTATGATGATGGAGAATTTGGTGGAATGAAGATTGGCGGGGGAAACCGAAGTACTCGGAGAAAACCCGCCCCAGCGCCACTTTGTCTACCACAAATCCCACGTGACCAGGCCCGGGATCGAACCCGGGCCGCCGCGGTGGGAAGCCAGCGACTAACCGCTTGAGGTGTATAGACCTATACAACCTCTTTATTTGACCGTCACAACACAGAAAATATAGAACTTCAAGGACAATGATCAGTATAGTTCTGCTACGTGTTTCGGCCACGAGTGGCCATCATCAGGCAAACACACTTCAACAAACGTACACCATTGAACTGCAGTATGTACAATTTGATACGTTATAAATCATTTAAGTTAATTTGCACAAGAATACAATAAGTAGGTTATTTAAAACAATAACAAGTCATATATAAAATTAAAATTTGATTGATGTTTAATAACATCGAATCGGTCGTTGGTTTTACTTTTCATACATTTCTGTCGACGAATAGTAAATGACAGGTGAAATTGAGTGCACTACAAGACGGACACGGCATACATATCATGAAGTAAATTCGAGTTTCTTATAAATTGTGTAGGAGGTCCAATAATGTTGTGAATTAATTAATCTGAAAGTAATATAAAAGAAATAGTATTAAGTTTGTTAAAATTGATATACTTTGATATTTAAAATGTAGTATATAGTACGTATTATTACTTACGAAACAGTCGGGGCCTCATCATACGGAGAATTGTACGTAATGTATGGGAAGTAAGCAACGACTGATTTGGTGGTGTAGGGTATAGTCAAGGTAAGGGAGGGAAGGGGGAAGGTAGGAATGCGGAAGTGATGTATATATGACTTGTTATTGTTTTAAATAACCTACTTATTGTATTCTTGTGCAAATTAACTTAAATGATTTATAACGTATCAAATTTTACGTATTGCAGTTCANTTAGTTATGATGTTTTTAAAACCTTTTAAAATTTAGAGAAAATTTTAAAAGGTTTTAAAAACATCATAACTAAAGATTTTTAGAGTACTACTATAAGAATATCAAATTAGACGTGTGCAACATAATCTACATACCAGACACATATCAACGATGTAGATGTTGATAATACGAAGAATGTGACATTGTGTTTTTAAATGTTAAATTTTAGACTGGGTTCAGTGTGGCAGCAACGTTAAGAATATACACCTGATGATGGCCGATAGAGGCCGAAACATGTAGTGTAGAAAGAACAAGATCAAAGACATATAATATATACTGTTTGCACTTAGGACGGAGTTTGTATCATTTATCAATGGTTTACGTTTGTTGAAGTGTGTTTGCCTGATGATAGCCACTCGTGGCCGAAACATGTAGCAGAACTATACTGAGCATTGTCCTTGAAGTTCTATATTTGCTGTGTTGTGACGGTCAAATAAAGAGGTTGTATATATTGTAACACGGCAGGATGCATGAAATTAAAATTGTATAGACCTAATCAGAGCAGTGTACCAATCTTGTATCCTATTCTGATGTCCTGGTTTAAGCGTTCTTTGGACAAATCTCACGAACTGAATGTATATAGGGATCGTGTCGGCATGTGCCCATGTCTTGTAACTCTGAAACTGGTAAAAGAATTTAGATTAAATTGCTGCTATATCTATATTAAAGTT